GCATGAAGAAGGAGAAAAAGGACAAGGCACACCAAATTTCCTCCAGCTTGTCCCCTTTGGACCCCTCATCTAGAATCCTAAAATTTTAGTTTTGCACTCATGCCACACTTAATTATTACTGATATCAAACGCTCAGTGCTGGTAATTGATCCTGTGAGATTGAAAACTCTTTTCCATGGCCAGAGATCACAGCCAGTGTCTCTGGGGGCTCTGTCCAGGGGGGTTCCTGACCCCTGCCAGGGTCCCAGACCTGCCAGGGCAGCCAGAGGGAAGCTCTGGATTCCCACACCTGGCCTCACACAGATGGATTTCCCACCTCCTTGGGTTCTTTTCAGCATTCAGCACAATAAATCCCCTCCTGCTGGGAGCACTGATGGTGAGTGGTGTTTGGTAAGAGGAAGCTCCATCCCGAAGCTCAAAACAGCTCAACATGCAGCAGGGTGGTGTCCCAAATTCTTTGGGAAAACTCTGAATCCTTCAGGGAATGCAGTGGTTTCCTGTGGGGCTGGAATCAGAGCTCTGGGAACAGGTCTCTGTTCACATTGTGCTGCTGGGTTAAAGGTGTTAAAATCTTTGTAATTCTTGAGTTTCTGTTGAGTTGATGCATCTCATTTAATTTCATTGACCTTATATCTTAAATACTGTGAAATCTTCTGAGAAATGCTAAAGGTGAGCTCTAGTTGTGGTTATATTAAAATATTCAGGCAGTGGACAGTAAATGTAGTCTGTGTGTGTATGGCTTCACTCCTGCATTAATTAAATAAATTAATAAAACCACTGGATTGTGAGGCACCCACCCTGGGGGCCACAGTCCAAATCCCACTTCCTCTGGGGGATGGATTCCAGTATAATCCAGGAAACACAACCTGTTCTGGCAATGGGGAAAAAGAGCTTCAAAATCAAAACTGGGATTTAAAGTGGAATTGTATTGCTCACATCATTGTGGGGTTGGATTTTTGTCATCCAGGCTGTTTCAGGTGCAGTGATGGGCCAGGCCAAAAGCAGTTTGGAGAAAAAGAATTTGGCAGAGAAATGAGAATAATTGGTAAAGCTGAAGAAGGGTTCAAAACTCCTCAGTCCAGGGGATGAGAAACCTCAGCCTTGTTCAGAAAACTATAAATTTATTTCCCTTTAACATTAATAAGAACTTCTTTTTCCTTCTCCTGCCTGTTCCAGGACCTTCCCTTGCTGCTCAACAGAAGGGGAACCCTGTGCAGAGCCTCTTCAAACACAAATGAGTCCTGCAGGCCCTCTGGGGGTGGGCAGCAGCTGGTTGAGAGCACAGCTGCTCCTTTTTACTCACTCCTGGCTATTTAGAGCCAATCTCTCTCCGTGGCTGTCTCAAAGACCATTTCCTACCCTCGAGGTGCTCTGGATGAGCTGGAGATGTGTCCTGGTGTCCTGGGGAGGAGATGCTGCCCTGAGGTGTGTCCCTGATGGAGGAGGGTTTGATGGCTGCAGAAGGGGCCAATTTCAGCTGCTTTCAGCAGCAGGGTGGAGCTTTGGCACTGGGGCAATAAAGCAGTTCATGAAACTGGGAGGTCTTTGCGATGTGTCAGCACTTCCCAAAGGAGAAAGCTTTGGGATCCAGGGCAGCTCCTGGGTGCAGGTGAGCAAAGGCTGCAGAGGTGCCCTGCCGATTTCTCTCGGGGTTCTGAAGGTCAGGGTGACCCCAAGAGAAGGTAAAAAGGCTTTGAGGTTGTGAGAGTCCTCATTCCCTTAGCCCATCCAGGCATAGAAGGAACCTGGAATGTGTCCGATGGAGCTTTGAAAGTTGTTTATTCTTTGTTATCTAGAACATTCTTTCTCTGACCTGCTGAGAAAGGAGGCCATGGCAGTCTGCCCTCAAGCCTTGGGTAGCTCCCACATTATGAACTCAAAACTATGTGTCTGTGTTTACAATTTCTTTACCAATTCCTATCACCCATGTTAGACTGTGAATCTCTACCTTGAACCAATAGAAAAGTGTCACCATCACACCAACACATGGAGGGCAAGAAGAAGGCCAGGACATGCCCAAATCCTTCCATCTTGACTCCCTGAATTATATTCTAAAAATCCCAAATTTCTACTTTTCCACCCTGTGTTAGTTCAAATATCACACTACTCAAACCCTTGTGGCTTGTAATTCCTCACACAAAGTTGGCAGCTTTTTCCACGGGCTAAAATCAAAGCCACAGGTGTTTGTGACTTTGTGCCAGGGTCTGGAGCCAGCCAAGGGCAGCCACAGGGATGTGCTGGACCCTGACAGTGCCCCAGGTCAGACATTAACCCTTAATGACCAATATTTCTGTGCCACAGATCAAACATTGCCGTGGGTTTGGGGTCCCAGGGAGTGGAGCACCTCGGACTTCTGAGCCCTTGCCGTGGTGAAAAGCTGCAGACAGAACTCCCCAGCAAATGTCTTCATAATACTTAACATTCAATGGAGCAAAAGGAGAATAATGAGCACTGCAGCCATCCCAGGTTAGTAATTACCGCCGTCATTATTAATTTTCCAGAGCAATCTCGTCAAATGAGTCATTATTATCTCAATTCCTTAGCCAGGACTGATTGATTCTTTCTCCCTGTTGTGACTAATTCCATATAATGTCTGAGTACAATATAGAACTATAGAGCCAGTGTAATTCCAAGGCAGGATAATTCTGAATAACCAAATCCCTTGCCTTCAGCTCTGTTTAGATCCGATGCTTTATACTACTTAATTGAAATAAATACCCCAATCCTGTCACTCCCGACTCTCCCCAGCCACTGGAATTCCACTGGAGACAGGGATTCCTGTCAGCCTGGGCTCTGCTCTGGGTGTTCCAGTGCTGGATCCGAGCTGGCAGCAGGCAGGAGCATCACAGCACTCACAGGAGCAGCTCGGTGTGCTCTGAAGGAAGTGCTGGTCATCCTCAGCTCTTCCTGATGTTAATTTGCACCATTTTTAAGGAAGGTTTTGTTGGTTTGTCTGTCTGTGAAGGTTTTTTTGGTTTTTTTTTGGAGGAAAGGCTAAAAGTGATGTTTTTTTAGCTCCCCTCTTTTTTAGGGGAGGTTCAGATTGGGTATGAGGGGAAATTTCCTCGTGGAAAGGGTTGTCAGGCATTGGAACAGGGCAGATGTGGAGTCACCTTCCTTGGAAGTGTTTTCAACAACCTGAAGGTGGGACCTGAGGACGTTGTTTGGTGCTGAGCTGGGCTGATGGTTGGACCCGATGAGTGATGGGTTTTTATCTCTGTCTGCAGCTGAGTGTCAGCAGAGCTGAGCACGAATAAGTTCAGTGCAGGACGAGGAAAGGGGAGGCTGTGGAGATGGGATTGTGGCTCCTGCCCCTCTGGAAAGGGTGAGCAGAACAATTACCCATCCTTTAGAGGAACTGGAAGCTCCTTGCATTTCCCTTGAGCTGCAGGGAAGGGAAGGAGGTGGAGACCACAGTTATTTCACAGCTTTGACCTTTTTGCCTCCCAGACTTCAAACACGATCAGACTGGAGAGGCAAAGGAGGAGGCTGCAGAGCCAGGAGGAGCAGCAGGGGCAGCACTGGAACTTCTCAGAGCAGGAAAGTGTGATGGTTTAATGCTGAACCACAGGCAGGGGTGAGACATTCCCTGTCCCTGCTCTCAGAACCAGCCCTACCCCAGCAGCATCCTCCTGCCAGCAGGGATTGTGCCTGTGCTGACATTTAGGGATATTGGTGTAGGTTGCTCTGGATTGGATTGGGAGAATTAAAAATATTGAATTGGACAGTAAATAAAAGAGGAGAGGTCACTGCCATCCAGAACTCCTTTATTTCTGGTTATTTATTGAGGCAGTTCCATATTGAGTCCTTTAGTGCTGAGTTCAAAATTCCCCTCAGAGCCCCTGGGAGCAGAACTTGGCCGTGCCCCCAGAGCCTCTTCCCTGGTGGGTGTCAGGATGGAAATGCAGCAGGGACTGATGTTGTGCATGGCATCCAGCCAGCCCTGTGTCACCTCTCCCCCAATGGGTGTGTCCTGTTCCTCAAGGTGTTAAAATTTCATTATTTTAATCCAGATTTAAATAGGAACACCCCATAGTTGTGTCCTCTTCTTGGAGGTGTGTCTCTGCTGTAAATTCCTGCTTTTTTCTGATGTTCCTCCCAGCATTCAGCCAGCAATAACAAACAGAGAGGATAATGTAATGTATTATTTCTCTTATTTAGAGTAAAAACAACACTCTGTTTGTAGTTATTAATTAGATATTTGACTAGGCATGAGATGCTGAAATTAAAGCAAACCTTGAGCTGATGGGAGGGCATTTTTTGGGGACGTGGAGCCCAGTGCTGGAGTCAGAGGTGGCCCCTTCTGGTAGCCACAGATGGGCTGTGACACAGTGGTGACACCGTGGGTGCCCCCGAGCAGGAGCTGACCTGTGTCCCAGCCCCTCCTGCATCCAGGGCTGCGAGCAGCTCAGCTGGAGCAGTGGAAAACAGTCTGCTAAAGGATGCATTTGTAGGAAAAACAAGCTGAGGTTTGGCGTGGTACAACCTTCCCCCCAGTTCTGGTATTACAACAATTAGAATATCTGTTAATGTAACTTCGTGTATCCAACCAAGCTGGGAGATAAATCTCTGTGTTTTTATAATAAATGCTCCTTTATGGCAATCACCATATGCTACCTCTGGTCCTGTTTGGAGTGTAAATCATAACAAATGTGGATCCTAAAATGCTTTATTGTCTTTTTATGGCCACATACGGCTGCTGCTTCTTCCATTTGTGATTAATTTTTTTAATGGGTCCCCCTAGAACCTAAAAAATAATTAAAGCTAATGAATACTCTGGGGTGACAGTAAAGGAAGGAGCATATTGCATCTCTTCTCACTCCCCAGATCTGATCAAAAGCGGGCTGGAGCTGTGAAGTTGTGACACTGACATTTTGTTCTGAGCTGCCGACCACCTCCTGAGACCAAATGACGACTTTGGGGAAGAGCAGGAATTAGAGTTTTCATTGTTTCACAGCAATAGTGCTGAGAGGGTGGAATTAAAAGCAGTTGAAGTCACAATGTTTATTTCTTAGCGAATCCTCTTTACAGAAATCAATCCAAGATGTAAAGGACTTTAAGACAGATTTTTTTTCCTTGTCCTTGCCCCAGGGCGCATGAAGTGAAATATTTTATGCACTGGGACTGGTAAAAATACTGATTTCAACCCAACCCAGAGTAGAACCCCTTTTCCTTTCCAAGGCTGCAAGCCACAGGTCTGCGTGTCCTTCCAGGCTGGGGTCCCTGGCTCAGGGAGCTGCAGCTGCTGAAAATCAGAGGAAATCCCCAGAAAATCCCTGGCAGAGCCTCCCCAGTGCCATTAATGCCACCTGCACTGCAGATCCAGAGCTGGGGCTCTGCTGCCAGGCTTTTATCTGCCCTCCAGAAACTCTTGAGTTTGGCTTCCTTGTTCTTCCCCTCCAGTGCACTTGGGTGTTGAACTTCTGCATGGGAGCACAGCCAGCGTTGAGCACTGCTTAAAAACCTTTAAAATCCACTTCTCAAGACTAATATTTATCTGTAAAGGCTGTAATTAGAGTGTGGGGGGTGTTGCTGTGCATGTAGCTGCCTCTCTCTGGGCTTCCTGCAGCTCACAGAGGCTTTGAAATGAAACTTGAGGGGAAGAACTGTGAATAATCAACCCCAAGTGCTGGACTGGGGTTAAAGTGTCAGTGCTGCAGGAGAAACCTCAAAGGTCCCAGCCCGTGGGGACTGGCCAGGGCTGCAGCTGTGGGGACAGATGGAAAACAAACTCCCCAGGTAGCTCTTGGCATGGTGTCACCTCCTCCTCCACTGCTGGGTGTGAGCACACGGGGCTTGGAATTCACTGGGAATTTTCCATCTCTGCTTTTCATGCCCTGAGTGGTACTGGCTCCTTCCTCCTCTTCTCCTCCTTTCTCTTCTCCTCCTTTCTCTTCTCCTCCTTTCTCTTCTC